AGCGCAGGTAAGGCAGAGACCTCCCTTGGTCTCGCGCCCAACGCAAACCAAATTGCGCTCATCGCCCTCGAGGCAGAGACTCCCAAGGAGTCTCACGCCCAGCGCGACAAGGGCCGCGCTCAGCGCAACACATCAATATCATCGCTCAGCTCAACAACATTCATCATTAACAGCTTAAAATAGCATGATCAACAACTTCACAACGTACAATATGTTCAACACATCATACGACCCAACCATCTTTTTTACAACTCATCTATCTTGTCAACTTATTCACCCAAACAACACCAATACACCTAAGCACCTAAAACAACTTTCAACTTAACCAATTCATTAAAAGTGAAATGGCAGCCTTCACAAAAAACAGCGCATCAGGAGTTATACTACTCCTACCATACTCATCCTTATCTCATATGAAAAATAAGAAGATTTCCTACAATTCTCATGAAGACACCAAGTCATAATTCCTTCATTTACCTTGTTAAAAACTGGGCCTTTGGGCTTTTAACTGCTTCTGAGCCCAGTGAGCCCAATGGATTTGGTGGGTCTAGGGTTCTCTTTACTTGGGCTTTACATGGATGAACACCTTTCTCCTATTTTTGGTAGGATAGGAGTTTATTTTGTTTGGTCTTGTATTATGGGCCTCAATATAAGACTTTTTGGGTTTTAAGCTTATTAGGCCTAGTTTTGGGCTTCATTCATAGGATACTTGATGTCATTGAGGAAGGGACTTCATATCTCACTCACACTTAGCACCAAACTACCCGCACCTAATGTCATTGAGGCAAAGAGTCTCATATTCTCTCGTGTCTGGTATGACAAAACTCACGCCCGACCCTAATTAGGTAGAGGGTCTTTGTCTAACTTATGTTTAACTCCACATACATTAGTACCCAATGCAAATCTAAACAGAAAATGAGTATCTCTCCTCACACTAGGTGACATTTAATCAACGCCTAATGTTTGTGGCATCGACAACAAAACGACGAAAGTCTATGCACCTTAAAAGTAATTAAACTAATGTAAACCAAATTTAAAAATATTTGGTTACATCAGTTTTTTTAAGAGGAAAATGTCGAGATATAAAACTAAAATTAACGAATTTTTGCAATGATTTAAATGAGAGAAAATTATATTTATAATAAAAAAATTTGTTTGGTGTTATTTTCTAATTAGAGTTAGAAATTTACGCATATAATTAATGTAAACCTCTAATTCTAATAGAAAAACATTATCAATTGAAAAACTATACTTAAATTTTAAATGTAATTTAGTAGAATGAAAAAAAAAATATTATTTTACTTAAAAAAAGTTCTAATGACAAATATGTAGTTAGAACGGCCCGTTCCAAATTCAGAATGGTCTGTTCTGGTTTAACTAGTCATGTGTTATTTTTAATCTGGAACGGGCCGTTCTGATTTCGGAACGGACTGTTCTGATCCATTCGTCATGTGTTTTTTTTTTCATCTGGAACGGCCCTCATTATTCATGTGTTATTGTTTCATCTGGAACGACCCGTTCTGATTTCAGGACGGCCCGTTCCAAACGTGAATAATAATTGTGTCAGTGTATCGTAACACGTGTTTTTTTGTGTAATTTTTTTTAAAAAAATAATTTCAGTAAAAAATTCAGAAATTTTGATCCTGTGTAATAGGATTTATAATAAGCTATTAGTTTAGATGCATTTTATAATCAAAATTCATGATGTACCATGCTGTAAAAGTGGTCTTAAGACATCACCCAAATCTAAGTACTATAAACAATTGATTGCAAATAAACAAAGAGACGTATTGTTATATCTGATCAAGTATTTTGTTGACGGTTCTGCGAATTTTGTTCCATTTATTGGTAGACGAGATAAAAAATTTATTATAAATTTTTGTTGTGGTTTATGATCTATTTTATATTGCAAAAGAAGGTGTCTTTCTCATATGTAAACTTTGAAATACTCATTTTTTTAATATATATTTTTAAAATGTTAAATAAATTCACTTTTGTTCAATAATTACTTTATATAACATTGAAAAATAATTAAAAAAAAACGATTACTCTTAAAATTTAACAAAACGATAGTACATAATTATAGAGCAGCACGGGCATTTAGTAAATAATTAGGAAACACTAACAAGTTCAACCTCTGACAATTGACAAAATTTTAACTAAACATTTTGTAGTGTTGATGAGCATTTTTCGTGATTACAAAATCTAAAACCAGCATTATTGTTATGGAATTTAGGGTACATAATCATATCAAGATAATTGAATTATTATAAATAATAATCTTATGTTGTTCATGTTCAAAAAGAGACCTACGGAAGTGGACATCATGAATGATGAATCTGTGATCCCACTACGATAGTGCCAGAGATGGTGCCGCTGTAAGTTCAATAAACTATTCCCAAAAAAAAAAAAACGCGTAAGTAGTTTCTTTCAATTAATACGTCGTGTGCTAGGTTTAATTTGCGCACATGTTTGAATGTTTAGAGGTGAATGAAATTGAAATCAAATAGAATTTGTGTTTCATTTTATGTTATGGGATTATTTACCTTTTTTGCAAATATGGTAAATATTTTGCAAGGTTAGAACAATAACATAATTTAAAAAAAAAAAAAAATGTGACTGCCGAAAGTGGAAGATACTGAAAAAACCGAAAAACTGATCCCGAAAAAAGAAAAATAAAATGACCGCGAAAAGAGAGGACGTAAGATGAGAAGCTCTCCCAAGTCGTCCAATGCAACGCAAAATAATCACAAGACGACACTTTCCATTCACATTCCATAAATTGCGTTACTTTTTCTCGTCCAATATTCCATTAAAGGTGAGTGTGTGAGTGAGTGAGGTAAAGCACAAAACCACACCCAGAACCTTCTCTTTCCTCTCCTGTGCTTTGCTACTGCTACCATCACTCAATCTATCTATTTATACATCTAAACTCCCACAGTTAGTGAAAACTTGCTGCCACTGCACTCTTTTCACTTTCAGTCATAAAAGCCTCTGTTCCTCATTCAGTGTTTTGGATTGCCAACCCATTTGGCGAAAGACTCCATCTTTGAGGGGAACAATGGGAGGTGGCAAACCCAGATCATCCATTCTCATTCTCCTTCTCTGTGTCTTCCTTTGTGGTGTTCTCGCAACGGCACAGCAACAGCAACCTATAAAAACGGTTGTCGTTTTGGTCATGGAGAACCGTTCCTTTGATCACATGCTGGGGTGGATGAAGGAGAGCGTCAACAAATTAATCAATGGTGTCACAGGAGATGAATGCAATCCGGTTTCCACCAAAACTCCGAGGCAAGATTCAATTTGTTTCACCGATGATGCTGAGTTCGTGGATCCGGATCCGGGTCATTCGTTTGAGGATGTTTTGCAACAGGTATTCGGTTCTGGTTCCATCCCTTCCATGAATGGATTCGTGGAACAAGCATTGTCCATGTCTCAGAACCTCTCTGAGACCGTCATGAAAGGGTTTAAACCTGACTCTGTGCCTGTTTACGCTGCTTTGGTTAAGGAATTCGCTGTTTTTGATAGGTGGTTTTCTTCAATTCCGGGCCCAACACAGCCCAATAGACTTTTTGTGTACTCAGCGACCTCGCACGGTTCAACGAGTCATGTCAAGAGGCAGTTAGCAAAAGGGTATCCTCAAAAAACTATCTTTGATTCTCTGCATGAGAATGGCCTGGACTTTGGGATTTACTTTCAAAACATACCCACAACTCTGTTCTATAGGAACCTTAGGAAGTTGAAGTATGTGTTCAAGTTCCATCAGTATGATTTGAAGTTCAAGAGAGATGCTAGGAATGGGAAACTTCCACCCTTTAGTGTGATTGAGCCTAGGTACTTTGACTTGAAGGGCTTGCCCGCGAATGATGACCATCCATCTCATGATGTTGCACATGGCCAAATGCTGGTTAAGGAGGTTTATGAGGCTCTAAGAGCAAGCCCTCAGTGGAATGAGACACTCTTGGTCATTACATATGATGAACATGGTGGGTTTTTTGATCATGTCAAGACTCCTTTTGTTAACATTCCTAATCCAGATGGGAACACCGGACCTGCTCCCTATTTCTTCAAGTTTGATAGGTTAGGGGTTAGGGTGCCAACTATTATGGTCTCTCCTTGGATCAAGAAAGGGACTGGTAAGCTCAAAATCCGCATTGATTATCCTTTTTTAGCTTCTACTCTTTGGTCAAACCCATTATTCATATATTTTTTTTTATGATATAGATGTCATATAATTGTGTCCAATACTTCTTCTGTCATGAGGACAATAGCATGTTTTTATTATTCTATTGGATGCTACATTAACATTTCCGGGACCATTGTCCTTTCTGTTTACCACGATTCCGGTGCCTTTACTATGACAGATAGCCCTCACTTTGAGTTGCATTTAGTGGGTTGATTTTTCTTTTCTAGAGCCTACAAGACCATGTTTGTCCTTTTTCCTTGTGTTTTGAGTAGAGTAAGGATTAAGGATTGTTGTTTTCTAGCCAAATTTAGTATACAAACTTGACATTGATTTTGAGCAATGTGGTTATAATGACATTGGTTTATGTTCACCTAATCTTGTTGAGTACATTTGTTAGATTCAGAAGCTTCAACTTGATTTTGATTGGTTTGACATGCCTACTAATTTACTACCTCATGATCTGGTTTCTCAGTGATAAGTGGAGCCAAAGGACCTGCTGAAAACTCAGAATTTGAGCACTCTTCTATTCCTGCCACTATAAAGAAGATGTTCAACCTTTCCTCCAACTTTTTGACTCATAGAGACGCATGGGCTGGGACGTTTGAGCATGTTGTTGGGGAGTTAAGTTCACCCAGAACAGATTGCCCAGGTACCCAATCCACCCTTTTTTTTTATGACAATTAATTGAATTCCTCAGCAAAAGACACGTTTTGCAAATGCAGATTAGTTATTAATTATCAAGTTTTAAATGCTCTGTTGACTATGCTCATGGACTAAAAACAATAATCACTATGTGATATACTTTAAAAGAGGAATAGTATAGCCAGTACAGAAAAGAATACTTCTTCAACTTTGACTTTGAAACTTAAAAAACTTCTTATGTGTAACAAATTACTAAGACATGTTAATGTGCATTGCAGTGACTTTGCCGGACGTCACTCCTCTAAGGATCACTGAAGCAAAAGAAAATGCAGGCCTATCTGCGTTTCAGAGTGAGGTAGTTCAATTGGCAGCTGTTCTAAATGGGGACCATTTCTTGAGCAGTTTCCCCGATGAAATGAGCAAGAAGATGAGTGTGAAGGAAGCTCATGAGTACGTTCGAGGGGCTGTTTCAAGGTTCATAAGAGCTAGCAAAGAGGCCATCAAGTTAGGGGCTGATGAATCTGCTATTGTGGATATGAGATCCTCTCTCACTACTAGATCTTCAATTCATAATTAATACAAACCAAAAAGGAAAGTTGTGCGGCTATATCTGTATCTAATTATTATAGTCTTTAGGTTATATGATAATTCTTATGCTAGATTTTGTTAGGGTTGTGAAAGTGGAATGCAATAGAAGAGGAAGGGTGTTTGCCAATTACTAGTGTTATGAGTTGGTCGTGCAAGGACGGAAGCTCTGATGGTCTCTGTTTGAAAGAATTAAATTAAAAAAAAAAAAATCAAGAGAATGATGGCATGGCTAGAGAGTAATTTCAAAAAAGAAAACTCCAATGCTGCTGTACAAAGTACAAACTCGTATAATATAAATGTTGCTCCATAATTTTGTTTTGAATTGCTTGTATTCATGGAATTTGTTGAACGAAACTGTATCGAGTTAGCTACATAATCACATTTTGTTTTTCTGGTAAATCATTTTGTTTTCAGTCATTAAGTAGTAATAAATCAGCGATGGCAACTCTGTCTGTTAAGATAGACAAATGAAAAGCACTACCTCCTTCGCGAACTAATGACTTCTCCTTTTGCAAGGGAGATTTCAACTTATTCAGCATTTGTTATAACTTACTCAACATGGGGATCACTTCCAGTGCACAATATCGCTTACGATGACTTGGAGGAAAAGGAAAAACAATGATACCAAAAGCAGGGCGTGAAAACGATTTGAAAATCAAATTTAACAAAGATCTATATGCTATACAAGTATTCGAAATTTCCGGTCTCATCAGCTGATCAAATATTCAAGACGCTAGAAATGGAATAAATAATCTGGCTTGAAAAGGGGGCAATGGATATAATATTTGAAAGTCATACATAACAGTTTTAGAAACCCTCGTTACAAAATAGAAGGGAAATGTAGTACATATTAAGAACAGAGTATTTGCAGTATACTCAACGAATGGGTGTCCTAAAAATGAGAAAGGTCACATATACTCCGGACGAATAATACTATACCACTAGATCTGCAACATGCAGAATTCCACTAAAGAATGACAACGTGACTAGATCATGATTTGAACTCCGAACACAGAACATTGGAAAGCAGGTTGTCAGACCTTGTTCGGAATCCACATACTTTAGAATCGTAAAGTAAAGAAAATGGCAAGGAATGCATAGTTTTTGCAGTCAATCCGGGACACCTGGACTCTCCTTTTCTTTTTTAAATTGAAAGGGGAGGAAGAGTGGAGGATCCACTCCCCGTTCATATCTTAGAGAGCGATACTTTTTCTCCTTTCAATTGGCAGACAATTTTTTTAAAATATCTTGAACAAGAAACTGATTTCTGTCATTCAATCTTTAACTCCTAAATAAAGAAGTGGAAGATACCTTTCACATTAAACTATCTAACCAACCACCTTCCTATTGTTTCATTCCCAAATATTCCTCAAAACCAAATAAATGGATCTGAAACATAAAATACAGTGTATTTAGCTAAGGGTATATAAGATCAAGTTTCATCTTCGGACCAAAAGCATGTACCCTTCTCAAGCTGTTACAATTTATCACAATCAAATGAATGACTCCATCAAATTGTGGTTAAAGAATGGCAGGATGTTATTCTATAAAATTTATGTGAAAATCTACAAAATACAAGCCCATTGGACAACCATTTTCAGACCCCTCTCATCATTAGACATTGCAGAAACCATAGGACGAGAACACATCAAGATCGACTGGGGCAACTTCAAGCTTAAAAATATCTAGCATCATTACCTCTGAATCAGGGTTCCATTTTTTGGTACTAAGCAAATTAAGTACTCGTCCCAAACATCAGGTTGAAAAAGGACTTTGCCATGTTGATATATCAGTGATAAGATCACGCAGTTGATCTATGAGTGTCTTCAGGTGCAAGTTCTTGTTGGCAAGCTCCTACATTTATGAGCAGAAGTTCAATGTTTACCACTGATATAATTAAAAAAAGAAGATAGCAAATCAACCAACCACTTAAGTCAGAATCTAGATATTGTTGCAGCATTGAGGACCCATTTTCATTTGTGCCTCTTTTGTTTTTTAGAAAAAAAAAAGTGTTTTTCAAATTAGTATGTTTAAAATATTTACCACAAAAATGTCAATTTTCAAAAAGAAAAACCTAAAAAACCTGTTTTGCTGTATCTCTAAGAAGCTAAAAATAATAGCATCATATATAAAAATCCAAAATAGAGTTGTACATATAATGTTTATTTTAAAGCTAACACTAATGGGTCATAACTGTTTCAGAAATAGGCTAAAAATCTAAAACCCATAAGAAGAATGTCATTAAATTCTGTTAACTGGATCTGACATAACATCACGGCAAATAAGTGTTTCTGAACCTCAACAAACTAAAATCTGAGCCAAAAACAACAAATTTAAATTGTATAGAACATCATCAAAGAATAGAGAGAGATTTATACAATTATTTAAAACTTGGTTCAAACCTACCCTTCTTAGAGAAGTGGCTCGCTCCTCCAACTTCTCAATTTCATCTTCATCAGTAGGGCTAGCAGCAGAACCAGCGTCAAATGTTTTCACCTATAATACTAACCAAATTAGTTTAACCAGAAAACAAAAGCTTCACTTGACGAGATAATAGTTATAAGGCTCGCAAAAAAATGTACAGAACTAATATTTAAGCAAAACAGTGATATGTATATTAAATTAAATTATTAATAAAAAAGAAGACAAGTTTGACTTCCAATATCCATCAAGCATCATTTTACACAGTATGAGTTCTGTCTACACTAGGGAGAGTTTGTCTATCAATATCCTTAATCCCTCATTCTCTTTTACTTCAATAGTCAATAACTTAAAATTCCAGTTGATGGTACATCAATATAGCAGAAACATGTTTAGCGAATTATGAATTTATAGAAAGTGATTTATCCCAGTCAGTTTGATATCCCCTTAATACTGTAGTATTTCACGGATGAGTTTGTCATATAAAGCTCATCCAGTCATCCCAGATTTTTTCACCCCCATTTTTAATATGACATCAATTTGAACCTTAGAGTAGAGATTGTATCATCTTTTACCTTCTCTGAAAGAAATCCTAGTAATTAAATTTATAATTGAAATTCACAATCCATCATCTAAAAATCTGGCGAGCAAAATAATTACTAGTAACTTATTATTTTGAGGGGTTCAAGGTTGTTGAACTCAAGGGTCTATGTAAACTTGTGGACCCTCTGTAAACTCAAGTTGTTACAACTTAGAAGTTTACCTAAAGTCAAAATATTACAAAAGAGTTAATTTCTTCAAATCATTTGAGCCTTGGCAAAACACTGTCAGTCTGTCACTATGGGGTCAATAACAGGGCATTTACTGGCTCACTTCTTGACTCAAGAGTTTGTGCAAGTTTACAGGAGTTTATCCAAAGAGTTTGACGGTGAGTAGAGAATCATAAAATCACAAGTTTGCCTTCCACCATCGATAACCTTGATCTATCCAATGAATATGCACGTGAACAAATTGACAGCCACAACACTTCCTAAACATCATGCGTAAGGTTTTCACTAGCATGCATTAGTGACACAATAGCATCATTCCGACCAAGCAAGACTGTCTCTCTATCTTTTGCTGGCATTTACTTGTATCAGTTGTATGATTTGTTAAAGATGCCTATGACTTTTGTTAGCTGTAACCGTGACTTTTGTTGGTATTTACTTGTATTTTTTTTTATGAATTTCTCTAAATTTCTATAATTTTCTAGAACTTATATGAATATAGTATACATTACATGAACTGTAAAAAAATTCAGAATAGCAGTCATCCCAATATAGCATTTTTGGGATTGGCCACTACGTTCCAGTATCCGAGATTGATAACACTGATCAAGAACAGGCAAATGCAATATAAAGCATAATTGATGCATAGGAGTTTTACTATGCACACGAGTGTAAACAAATTTCTAATGATGGGGAACCGCAACGTATCGTGACCACAATTGGTCGCACGCATTTTCCCGCAATGTCAACTATTACAACGCAAACGCAATTTAGAAGAATGCTCATAATTACCAATAATTGAAGTATTTTAGTTAAACTCAACTATTTCATACCGAAAGACATTCCTCCATTTCTAGTGCTAGATTATTTAAATCTTTTCAGATCTCTATCCGAGGAGAGTTGAACTTGAACTACTCCCAATTTCCAATCCAATGCAAACCAACGTATTTTCCATTTATATTAACACCGCATTTCGGCGTATAAATCCACGAATTAACAAAACTCAACGACAAAAAAACACTTAACCGCACCAAACACATTTCAGGACAAAGCAAACACAGGAGGAGAGATTCAAAAGAAAGAAGAGAAGCGGAATTAGGTACCTTCTGGGAGTTAGGAATGGCAGTGAGAATGGTCCGGAGCGCGGCGACAGCGTTCTTATACCGGAATCGAGCCTCTTCGAGGGCGCCGGCAGCGGCGGCGGCGCTGTCGGCGTGGTGGTTGGAGTTATCGGAAGCGGCGTCGCCGTTGGAGGAGGGGGCGTTGGGGGAGGTGGCGGAGGGAGAAGTGGACCACAAAACGGGGTTGCAGAGCTCGTCGTTCATGGAAGAGAGGATCTGGAAAGCGTACTCTATGGTTTCTTCCAAGTACTTCTGCCCTTCCATCGCTAACTCTTGCGTCGTTTTGGACCTCGACGACATCATGCCGTTCACCGATTGTTCTTCCATTACACAGACCAACGTCGAGATTCAGAAATCGTAAAACCCTACCCTTCCTAAAAATGAGAATTGAGAATAGCCACTTAAAATTAAAAACAAAAGAAAACGTCGACAGCAGGATTCGAACCTGCGCGGGCGAAACCCAGTAGATTTCAAGTCTACCTCCTTAACCACTCGGACATATCGACCAACTGTACGACCAACTATTTATACCTTTATAAATTTAATGAATATTTTTTTCGTTGAAAAACATATCAGTAATTTCAATTAATGATCAATTAATTTTATTGCTAAATTGTAAAAAAATGTAAATAAAATTTAATGATCTATAACAATAAAAAAAATTTATATGTTTCCTCTGTTTTGTCTTTCATATATTTGATGTCAAACATAATATATATTTTAATAATGTACTTATAATGATGAGATTTACATGTATATTGCATAAATCCGTACTAAACATGTATTTTTCTGAAGAAAAATGTCAAATAATTAAAATAAAATATATAATTATTACAAAGAATTTGGTGAGCATAATTATTTTAATTTAAAATGTTTTGAAACTTATTTAATAAAAAAATTTGCTGATAAAAATCTCTAACGCTATGCACATAGTTAAAAATAATTTTATCAGTTAAAATTTAACTAAAATGTATTCATATGGTAAATATATTTAATATTATTTTCTAATTGTAGATCCTTGTGTATAATAATTTTTTTAGTTTTGCTAAACATTATTTATGATTGATTAATAGTATAATAAATTTTATAATTATATATAAAATTGAAGTTAATAATTAATAGTCGGCAGAAACTAAGATAATTGACATATTACATATAGTTGAGGTTTTTAAGTATGCTATTAATATTCGTATAAATGAAAGAAAAATTGTTGAAAGTAAAACTCCTTACCGTGATTTCTATTGTCGCAAATGTTTTCAACCTCATGTATTATGTATTATCGCCATTTAAAATATAAAAATAATTCCCCATGCATGAGCAATAATATGAATTTTAGTTCACTCTTTCATGAACCACCTTTTACTAGTAGATGGACAAATTTAACCTCTCAGAAAGGATCAACTTTCAGAGGCTGGAATAAATTTTGGTGTCTGTGAAGTAAAAGTAGAAGAAAATGATGGATGGTGGACAGAGGACTCCATAAATCATGAGTCTGATGAGTCTTCCACCTCCTCTTGCTGCTTCTTACACAAATACAGTTCCTAAACTCAAAATTCACATTCCAAACCTTGTTGTTGGACAGAGGGTCCTACCTAATCTCCTCTCTTTGGCCCTTGCAGTAACCTTAACCACTCCTTTGCCATCTCATGCAATTCCATCTCTCAATTCTCAATCCCCTCCAATCTCCCTCACCACTCCTTTTTCTCAATCCAAGAACTTGGAGCTTGGACTAGAAAATGGGTATGTCAACATTCTTCATGGCTTGCCCATTTTGCCTCAAATGTAGAGTTCCATTTACTAGATTATGTTTTCTAAGCCTCAGAATTATGCTTAATTTGAGAGGATTTAGTTACTTCATAATATTTGAGTCTCTTTGAATATAAATTCAAAAAGAGTTTTTAAGAGATTATCTCCTAAAAAAAGTTCTTTATTTTCACAGGCCTTTAACTGTTTCTAAGTTTGTACCTAAATAGATTTTATATCGTACATTACATGTTGTTTCTAATAGTAATAGATTGCATGCTCGATAATAATATTACTGTTTATTATTAATTAACAGTATTTTCTGTGTACTCCTTCTTGCAGAAAAATTAGACCTTGCCCATCAATCAATCCAGGTTGCATATCTACAAATCCAAAGTCATCATCTTTTTCGTTTCCTTGGTTGATTCCCGCAAATTCCTTGGATGATGCAATTCAGGTTTCTAAAGCACCTCAAAAGTATCCTATATTTTTATTATATCTATTTTTATTGTCTATAACTTTCCTGGTATGTTTGTTTGCATTTGAGTTATGTCCATAGATACCTTAGTTACATCTCCTGTGCTTATACATTTTGTATTATTATTTTTTATTTTTCAGAAACTGCGTGAAGCAATCCTAAAGACTCAGAAAAATGTGAAATTCCAGCTTGCGGAAGATACACCAGATGGTAATACAAGCTCAGTGCAACATGCTTTGTTTAGTTTTAGATCAATTAAGAAATAATAGCAAACTAGCAACTGAATAGGAACTTAAAAGCTATGCCAACTGAATAATATAAATAGAAGAAAAGGGAGACCTGCACTTTTATCAGACTGTGGTTTGTAACTGGAATTAGGTATTAGATTTTGAATGATTTTATCTAAGTCAGGACAAGAGACATTTTTGAAGAGATTAACAGAAGTACTATCTTGCAAGCCAAAGGGCTTAACTAATAAATTAATATGTAGGTCAATATCTACAAGCTGAAGTTGATGGAGGATTTGGTAGAGATGTTATTGAGTTTCTGGTGAAAGGTGATGTGGTTTCTTACAGGTGTATGGCAACGAAAGTAACTTATGTGTACCCTTTCACTACTGCTTTCGGAGATTCAAAGGGTCAAGAAGCAAGACTCAAGCAAATTAATGATCAGTTGGGATGGTATGCTCCAAGTTTTGATTCCATGGAATAGTCTTGTTTCATGCTCTTGTTGGTGTCTAGCTGAATGCCTTTATTGCTCTATTTTGCCTTATTATGCAATTTCATGGCTTTTGCAGCTTATTATTTTAATGCTCAATAGTCACAAACTCACCATGGTAGGAACTTTTATTTTATCAAATATTCTTTTTGTTAGTTTCTAGTTCTACAACTGTTTGCATTAGCTTATACTGCATTCATCAGCATAATTGTGTGCTGATTACCTTAGAGCGGCAGGTAAATATACTAAGCCATGAAATTCACCAAATTACTTAAGCTAAAGAAAGACTATGAGGAAAATATAGCAATAATGGTTGTTGAAGGAAGTTTCACATAGAGGTGAAAAAATTTAGGCTCGGGGGGTGCATGTCTTTGAAAAATTGAACTGAATTAAAAAAAGGTGCAACATTGTTTTGATGCTTTCACATTTGCATTCTACCTCTATAGTGCCTTTGGGAGATGAAAAGGCATCAGAAGCTGCAACAGAAAACAAAGTTTTGAGAGAGGTGAGAGCTTCTGAAAGTGAGAAAAATAGAATACGAGTAAATCTTTAGTGTGTGAGAAAAATAAACCTGAGTTGAGTATCATTTCTATGACTTATTTCTTGGTAGTTGGTACTGCAAAAGTTTAGTATTAGAATAGAAGTGGGTTTGGTTAAGAAACACTATATTTTGTATCTCTTATGTAAACTTTCAACTTTCAACCTACTAATAATTTATTAGCTAAGCTATCAACAATATTGTTTGTTGAAGATTTTTCACTCTTCGACAAGCGAACCAAGTTTTGTGTAGTATTTTAAGATGTTGTCCTCAAGAACCCAAAGATATCTGGTAATTTCCTTTTATGTTCAATTTGGACGAAGTTCATGTACTACTATATTGAAAATAAGAAGTGAATAAATTGCTTTGTAAATAAAATGTTAACTCTCTTGATTTCAAGGATTGAAACTTATATTATGAAAATTGGGATTGAATGTAAATTCTCTATGCTTATGTTTTCTAATGATCCTTCTATATAATTTCATGTTTTCATATTTCCAAATCCTTGTAGTCATTCAAACCGATTCCTCAAGTTTGAAATTCTAAGATTTAAATCTTGAACATGATCCCTCAATGCTCTAGAGTTAACCCTTGCATTAAGCATAAGAATGTAATTGGTTAAGAATTTTAAGTCTATTCCTAGAACAAGATATTGTTAAGTGAATTGATTGAAACCAAGTTTAGAAAATGTTTCCCAACGAGATTCAAAACTAAAGATCCTAAGACTAATGATCAAGTAGGCTTATGCAATAAGATCGGAATCAAACATGAATATGATAAACCGAATATATCTATACAAGATTCAAAAGATCACATAAGTACTAGTGATTACATCCAATCCCACTCAGGGCAAAATCAGCCACTCATGATGAAGGCATTCAGAGATGCAGAATGAAAATACAAAAAACAAAAAGAGAAGCAAAAGAAGAAAATGAAGATGGAACAGCGAGACCCTTGTTCCCAAAGAGAGACCACCTTCCAAGCTTCCTTCCTTGTTCTGTTTCTTCTTTCTTGATCTTCGTATCTCCTCCTTTTTTTTTTTTTTCTTTCCGATTTATATGTTCCCTGTAAAACAGGGGAAAAATCAGAATTTTAAGGTTTTGGCGCAGCAGCGCTGGTGAGTCCTTCACCATGAAGTATCTTCCTGAGGTTGGGCGCTGGGCTGCTTTTCTTGTTTTCTGTTTTCCAGAGAGTTAGTGTTGCAGCTCCAGATCCACCACTGCAGCGCTAGATCTCTAGTTCCTCAATTTTCTTCATCCTTAGCTTGTGTTTTTTTGCATGAAAATGCAAAGGATCATTTACCAATTATTCACATACCTCATCATGCTTCTACTTCAAATTTTTGGACAATTATGAGAGAAAATTTGCAAAGAATTTCTTAATTGAAGTATAAAACGTGTTAATAAAGATGAGAAAACCAAGTATTCCACACGCTTATCATTGCACCTTTCTGAATTTCCTGTTCTTGTTTTGACTTGAAGTTATATATTAACGCTACACTTTGAGAAATAAAGTGAAAAACCAGTCTGTGACTCTGTTTATGACTTGTAACCACCTTATTTCACCTTAAATACCAAGTTGATTGAAAATTATTGTTGAAGTGTTATTGCATGGACTTCATTCTTCAACAGTTAGTGCTGAGCTCATTAAAACAATCTTTATTGGAAATCTCACATAAGTCATTGATATGATCAAAATAAGTGTATAAAGAGCAAATTCTAAAAATGTAGTGCCTTATCAGTTGTTAATCCTGGTAACAATGTAGTCAATCATCATATGACAGCAAAATGGTTATTCAAAAACGAAATCAATATTGATAATTGAATCGTTGTTCTTAAATTTCTCCTTCAAATTAATGGTTCATCAAGTGAACGGGTTTTTTCTCTTTCTTTTTTTATCCCCGTTACTGCCTTTATTCTTCTTGAGCTTTCTTCATGCATCATGACATTCACAAGGCAAGGCTGAAGAATGGCTTATAAGTTTTGTACATAAAAAATATTTAAATAGGAATGATAGGACACACTCTTTTTAACATTTTTATTATTATTGATTGAAATTTATTAAAAATTATAAATTTTGTATATCCGCATCTCATTTAATGAGTTTTTATTCTGATTTAATGATGAGGTTCACAAAAATTTATGATTTTCAACTATGGTTAATTCTAATAAGAAATTATTAAAATAAGAACTAGTTCTTATTTTTTTTTTAATTTTTATCATCAGAGTGCAGTCACATATGTATAGATTTGATTCTTCTATAAGAATCCATATGAACTAGATTCTTGTGTCAAAAAAGGGAAGAAAGTGGATTTATTGAAAAACTCACATAAAGTGAATTAAAACCTCAAATTAGTTCTTTTATTGGAACAAAACAAAGAAAAAGTTCTTAAATCCCACGTTACAGAACCCACAAAAAGGGCATTAAGAATATAAAATGGGTTTTACTATAAAAGATATTCTATTAAAAAAAGAAAATATTAGTAATATAATGTTAAAGAGAGTATGCTAGTCAAAGGTTCTCATATTTAAATAACATGGCCTCTTATAATTTGGCTCCTTCAAGCATTTTTTATTAACTTCACCTTGAGAGTAATTATTCTTTCATTATTTAATTCTTTGTAGTGAAACTATGTTATTCATGTTGAATTTCAACGGTACTGTTTAGCTTCAACTTGGGAGTGGTTCTTATTTCTTCTATTCTTACTTGATTCATTGAACCGAAACTATGTGAAGTTCGTTGAATTTCAACGATAATAGTTTTCTCTATCATTGAAAACAAAAGTGGTTTTTAAAAGACATGACTTCAAACTAAAAACAAACCACAATATATTATTTTACTTGGTGTTTGTATTATTTTTATTATATATATATATATATATATATATATATATATATATACATATGGGAGGTTGGGGGCAGAAGGGTTGTTAAGTTAGCAAGCTATAAATATATTTTTTTAAAAATGCATCAAAGTGCAACTTGTTAACTTATTCATTCTAAAAAGTTAAGTGGATTAAGTGATCAAATGTTTGTGAAGTTTCTTAACATACACTTATTTATTTATTTAGAATGAATTTATTAATAAGTTATAACTATAATATTTTTTAAAATATAGTCATGTGTAATTTGTTACTCCTTTTAAAAAATAGATAAGTATAAGTTAGCAAATTCATATATATTACAAGAATATCTCATTATTTTTATAATTTTTTTATTAAAAATAGTATTAAGTATAGATTAAAGATAAACTACAAATTTTTTGAGAAAGGAGACAAAGGTAGGTTGTTAGGTATGTGCGAGGATGGGGAGACAAAGGCCATAATAGGTGGCAACAACAAAGATAACTGACAAAAGAAAAAAGAAAAAAGAAACGGAATGACTCGAGGATACAACTGAATAGACGATTGCTTGAAACTAAGCAGAAAGCAATTGAAAACAAAATAACAAAATAATTCCTTTGTTCTTTTAGGACGGGTAAAATGCCTTTATTCTCTCAAAATATTTACAAAGTTGATTTTGTTCGTTATAAAAATTTAATATATTTTTAGTTTTAATATTTTAATAAAAGCACATGTTTTTATTTTTGGCAAGGACTTAAAATTACACAATTTAAAAGAATGTTCGAGTGATATTAGATTTGATATTTTTTAATTAAAGTTTTAGATTTTAGTTTTATTAATAGAAAAAAATAGTTTTAAGAGATGATATCTTATTAAAAGTGATCAGCTAGATTCTCTGATGAAAATTTTAGTAAATAATTTTTTTTTTAAATCTTCTATATATTCATGATTAAAAAATCATTATGTATAGATTGGAAAAATTACAAAGCTTATCTTAATAATGAGAGTTTGTGATAGATGCATAATGTATATATTTTGGTATATTTCATTATTCATTAAATACCTAGTATTTATAAATATAATAATATCACAATTATATTTACGTCTAAGGTGTAAATTTCGGGCCTTTTTTCCCCTTCAAATAAATACAAAGAAGTTTGTTGTTTTCATTGCGTCATTCGATGTCTGAATCCTCTTTTTTCTTCTTATTATTGCAAAATGACACAACTTTAATAAGTGAATTAAACCAAATCATATAAGATGTTGAACATAAACATGTTATCGCAACGTGTTATTCAACCAGTTTAGTAACCCATCCATTTTGGTCCAAGTTTAATAATTATAAAAAAATAATAGTTATTATTGTTTAAAGATATTATGAACTAATTTTAAAATATTAATCATTATATATAAGTTTAAAATATAAGTACCACAAAATGAGAAAAACTCGTACAAAGTTTCTCTAGAATTATTGGAGTAGTGTTAGAGTCAAAATCAAAATTTGATAGTTGGAGCTTAATTAGTCAATTTTTGGCCCTAGGTTGATACTTTGGACCTCGTGAACATGAAAGAGTTGATATTTTTGAAATTCCAACGATATAAACCATAGTTTTAAAAACCGGACCGGTCATCGAACCGGTTAAGGTACTGGGTCAATGGGTCAAAGGTTGAACCGGTGGGTCACTAGTTGAACCACATGACTCGGTTTTTATTTATTTATATTAAAAAAGTATTCATATTAAATATATTTTATACTTATAAATTTTAATAAATTCATATCTTATTTTAAATTTTAATTTTTCTATCTTATTTAAAATTATTTTTATTTTTATTTTATGAAAAAATACATAAAAAATTATATGTTGAACGGTATATTAATACAAATTAAAAATATAAATAATATTTACATATATAATATGCTTGCAATTAATATCACAAAATAATATATGTAATATTTACATAGATATTATATTATTAAATATATAATTTAAAATTAATAATATACTATAAAAGTTATTTAAGTTGTATATGTTACAAACAAATATATTAGAACAAGTAGTTATTGTTATATTTAATAAGACTTCTTACTTTTCTATTAAGAGATTCAATTATTATTATTAATTTTTGTGATTTATGGTCCCTTAAAAAATTTTATTAAAAAAAAAAAAAGTGGTTGAACCGGTTTGACTCACCGGTTCACCAGTTGAACCGGAAAATTGATCAGTTCAATCCGGTTTGAAATGAGTCAACTGCATAACCGATCCAACTTAAGATTCGAACTGATTGGACCACCGGTTCGCGGTCCGACCGGGTCGGTCCGGATTTTAAAACACTGCTATAAACACTTATCTTCCAAACTTTTTCTTCAAGACATAAATATAATATATATTGATGGTGGAAGCCAAGGGAAAAGATAATAAAAAAAATATCTTTTTTTAAGGTCTTCACGACATTGACGGGCAAATATCCAATGGCTTGAAAAGCAATTTGAAGGGAACTTATAATGTTTTAAATTTGCAGAGATATTTTCATCTTAAGATTCAAATGTTGGGTAACGATGGCGATGGATCATGCATGGACACCGAGCCATTAAATTAATTGACATAGACTCCATCTAATTAGATGTAAATATTTGAAAGAGAGATTGGTTATTTATAAGAAGAGTTTAATCATAATCTACACAAAGCCTAAAATTATCAATTAATCATATATAATTGTTGATACGATTTTTTCTTCATATATAATAAAAGTCAATAATAATTTATTACAAACAGTAGTTTGGGATTAGATTATGGTGTAAAATAATTTATTATAAATGATATTACATTCCTTATTATTTATATGACCTAACTTTGTTATTTCATATAAAATTCAATTTATATTATCTTACATAATAATTATTTTTAAACTAAAATATTTTTATTTAAAATATATTCTCTTAATTTGATAAAATACATTAATTATAAATTTTATAAAAAAATATGCACTCTAATTGATTATGACAAATATGAGTATTATCTTAGAAGAGAAATAATATAAGACATATCCTCTAATTAGTTAAAAGATATATATTATTATTAATTAGGAAAAAAAAAGTAGTGTAAAGGTAGTTGCTAAAAAAATACATAAATAAGGTAGATTTATCGTTGTCAACTAAATTAATTATTTTTTCTATCACGATGAATTAGGCAATCCAATCTAATATATAAGAATGAAAGTACATATTTGTAATTATGATAGTGTAAAATTACTTTGCATTTTTAATGGATCACTCATTTTTTTATAATATTATATTTAACTCGAACAATATTATTTTATAAAATATACATATGTTGAGTTCATTTTTAATATGCGACATTTTTAAATATTAAAAATAAAACTTATATGTATAATAATTTTATATAATTCAAATAAAAATAGTTATAATAAAAATTGATGTATTTAGAGAAATAGATGGACGATCTTTTGTTTTGGAGTTTAAGAAAGTAATCATCATTATTCATTAAGAAGACGATGACAACTCTCAACCACTTATAGTCTTGTACTTTTCATTTTTCTTGTCCTTTTCTCCCGAGACTCACTCATTTATTTAAGCCATCTTTTTATACATGACTTTTTGGACCAATAATTCCAAAAGGAAAGAATATTAATGACTTGTTCTCTAACGCATTTTTTTTTCTTTTTTCTTTATATATAATTACGAGTGAAATTTATTAAATAAAAAAATAAGACTAACAAAATTTTGTAATTTTTAATATAGTAAAAAATTAATTTATAAATATGTTGAAAACGTTTTTCTTTGAAACGATATTTGTATACAATTTGTATTCGGGTTGTTATATATTTTTAAAGTTAAATAAATAATTCTTTAATTATATTTCTTAAACTGTGAATGATTTTGTTCTCTAAGATTTTCTTTACCTAATTTTACCTTTTTATTTTTTAAATTTAAATATATTTTTAATCTTCAAAATGAGCGAATTTTAATTTTGATTGTTATAAAAAAAATTATTTTTTTTCTTCTAAATTTTAGAATGATTATTTTTAGTCTTTACTATTATCTAATAGTTTTTATTTATTTATTTATTAAAAAATTAATTGATTATTTTAAGTGTATGATATTTTTAATTTTTAATTTTTTTTAAAAATAAATATTATTTATCTATCTTTAAATTATTAATAGAGATAAAAAAATATTAATCTTATATTTTAGAGGATAAAAATTAAAGAAAAAATATTTTATAAAAACAAAAATTAAAATTTATTCATTTTACACGGACCAAGAATATTTCACAAAAATAAAAATAATGTTTAAAAAATTTAGAAGAAACATAGAGAATTTTTTTACAATGATAAAATCAAAATTCACTAATTTTATAAAATTCAAAAACATATTTTCTCATATTGTTAATTTATAGTATACTAAAAATATCCACATTTTTATTTTATCAGTTTTTTTTATAAAGGGATTCAAATAATTTGTTCTTATATGTCCATTTGGTTAAAACTATCAATTTTTAGTCAAAAATAAGAGAATCTTTTTTTTATTATTATCATTTCTCTTCCCGGCCTTAACCTTTCGCCTCATAAAATTTTCTAAATTTTATAAAAATTTCACAAAATATCTAATTCCTTCCATTTTTTCGAATCTAACAAGCCTCCACCCCGAAGTATTAATTATTTTTCTAAGATCAAATTTATTTAATTTAATACTACAAAAATTGATTAAAAAATTTTAAAAGTTAAAATCACACGTGTTTTAAATAAATAAATAAGCATACCGACAGTCCCAAACAATACTTTTTTCTTTTTCTTTTATTACCTACCTTAAAAAACCTAGAAAGTACATAAAGATTCCTCGAAGAAACAAAGCATGTTATAACACAGAATATGATTCTCTAACACCTAATAACGTAGGGTAGGGTGGTTGGTAAAGAAATTATTCAACATTTTTAAAATTATCAAATATTATAATCTTAATCAATCGATATAATATATATATAAAATTTAATAACAGTTAATTAAAGAATAGTTAAAAATATGTAGTCGAGTAGCAGTTTATAATTTTTGAAGTGTAGGAAGGCGACACGTTGCATAACATGACGAAACAAGTGTTTGGTTGGAAAAGTCTATAAGATAATTGAGTGTGCCTATAATATCATAAGTTAATAGTCTGTGGTGAGGCTTGATAAGCAACCACTCTCATATCTCATTGACTCGTGTTCATCTATACAAGGATTATCAGAGATGGTTTCGGTGTATGAGAAAGTGAAGGGGTTCGCGGGACACAGATGGGTGGTGTTTGTGTGCGCGATGTGGGACATGTCCTTTGCGGGCACTTCCTACATGTTTGGAAGCATATCTCCGGTCATAAAGAGCAGCATGGGCTACAACCAGAAGCAGGTCGCGTTCTTGAGCGTGGCTAAGGATTTGGGTGACAACGTTGGTCTTCTTGCTGGAAAGATCAGCCAGGCTTCACCCATTTGGGGTCTCATACTTGTTGGGATCTTACAGAATGTCATCGGTTATGGCTTGGTCTGGCTCATAGTCACACACAGGTTTCCCTCTTTGCCTTTGTGGCAGGTCAGTTTCATTCAATTAATCACTAACTCACTCTTTTCAGATTTCTATGCTTCTGTACCCAATTCTTTCCTCTCTTCACTTTGTGCTCAGATAGGTTCAATTCCGGAGTATATAGATTGTTCTTTTATTCACCAATAACTCCACTACCTCAACCAACTAAGCTTATGCTAAACTAGCTAGCCCCCTTTGACCCTTTTCTAGTTTTTTTTTTTTTTTTTTTTTACAACTTTTGTAGTTATTTAGGCATCTTTTACTTCGTTTTTTAGTCACATGGCAGAAGGAAAACACAGGACAAGAGATAAGGTAAAATATATAGGTAAAATAAAAAAATAAATATGAGAAATTCTAAATTCTTTTATTTTTTGGAGAATTTGAAATTCTACTATTCGTAAAATTATGCTTGAATTTCAAATTCTTTGTAAATTCTTCATCAAAATAAGACATTTCACTTCAAAAAATTTGAAATTCTTCAAATAAATGAATTATTCTATATAAATTTTCCATCTAAACACATCATAAGGATTTTTTTTCAAAAAATAAAATAAAATTTTAGAAGTTAACTTTTTTCTTCTTTTGTTTTTTACTTTCTCTTCAACTGAGTAGAAAAAAAAATAAATCTTTATATATATTTTTTCTTTCTTCCTTGTTTTCTTCCTCCGTCATATATTATTTAAATTTAACCTCATAAATGATAAATCAACACTAGTCTTAAATATCGATATTAACCGCGCTAAAACTCTAATTTTAATTATTTAAATCTTGTTCTTTGGGATGTGAAAAGAATAAAATAAAAGGGTTATACTTGTGAGCACTGAGCACTTCCTTGATTATTGTGCCTTGTCGGTAGTCTTTCCATCTTGATTGGCTGGGAAAATTAACTGGGTCAACGGGTCCTTACCTCTTGTGTCGTGATCATATTGATTCACCATAGTGACACGATAATATGTAGAAGGAATAAAAAAACAGTTGGGTGATATTGTTTTCATTTTACCTCCTATGTTTTGATAGGATCGAGATAGTTGTTAAGAAAAGATTGGGAGGGAAAATATTCAATTGTTAAAAGTTAACATTGATCACTTGACTTTACAGTTTACACTCTTTCTTTTGCTCTGTTCTATATTGCAACTATTTTCTTTCAGAAAAGAAGGGGCCTCTCGACATGATCGTGATTTTATATCTGTTCCCTTTTCCTAATGAAACACTGGTAATGGTAGATCTTTTGTAGCGCCACAGAATGAACTATCCTCTCAATTCTCAAAAGGAAATACCTTTTACAAGTACAGTTTTTGTTTGTTACAATGCTAGTGCAATATAAATATGCTTTGCCCTCATGCTACCACATACACGTATTATATGAAAAAGGTTTTAGCAAGAATTTACTTTCAAGTGTTTGCATGAAATTTAAAACAAGAATAAAACATGTTTTTGTGTCTGTACAATAAAACTTTTAATTCAGTCCTCATGTATACACAAGTATTTTAGTTTCATCTTCACTCAGTGTTACAGTCGTAAAATTCAGTCTGTTTGAATACAAATTTAAATTTAAAAAGCTTTTAAGAGTTTTTCGACCGAAAAGATTATCTCTCACTTATATATTCTATTTTGACATTATCTTTAGTCTACATGTGACTTTGGTCATGCCGGTAAAATGATTTGTTAACCAGGTGCTGATTTGCAGCTATGCATTCTAATCTTCGTGGGGCAAAATGGATCAACATATTACAACACAGCAGCACTAGTTTCATGCGTGCAAAGTTTCCCTGAGAGCAGAGGCCCCGTGGTGGGGATATTGAAGGGTTTCGTTGGCCTAAGTGGTGCAATTTGGACTCAAATAATAGCCATGATCAAACTCCCCGACCAAGCCTCTCTGATATTCATCATAGCAGTTGGACCCGCAATGGTTTCATGCACCTTCATGTTCATCATAAGACCCGTTGAGAGTTATAGACAATCAAGAGCCTCTGATGGATCAGGCTTCATGTTTATCTACAGCATTTGTCTCCTCTTGGCTGCTTATTTGATGGGGGTTTTGTTGCTAGAAAACATGCTTGATTTGGACCAAAGCACCATCACATTGTTTGCAGTTGTTTTGATCATTCTCATATTGCTTCCTATTATAGTTCCCATTCTATTGGTTTTCTTCTCTGGACCCCAAAACCCTGACCAAGAAGCCCTTTTGGAACCACCAATGATAGCAGAAGAAACCAAGTCCAAGCATGTGCTTGGACTGGGTGAGAGTGAGACTAGTACTAGTAATTGTACTACAAAAGTAACTACCAAACATGTTGAAAATGAGAAGGCTTCTTCGAAGCTAGAAGTGCTTCCTTTGTCAGAAGGGCCTAGGGACATATTTCAGTTTCAAGCTAGGCTTTGGCAAGGACTCACCAAGGCTTTGAAGAAAATCAAGAGGAAAAATGGGCCACATAGAGGAGAGGATTTCACCTTGTCAGAAGCTATGGTCAAGGCTGATTTTTGGATCATGTTCTTCTCTCTAGTCATGGGAGCTGGATCGGGCTTGACAATCATAAATAACATGGGTCAGATGTGTCAATCATTGGGAGACGACAATGTCAATGTTTATGTGTCGGTTATCAGCATATCCAACTTCCTTGGTCGTGTTGGTGGTGGCTACTTCTCAGAGGTTATAGTAAGGTACTATTCCTAGTTCCTACTCTTCTTTTCAATTCTAGTTTATCTTCCAAGAGTAAACCCCATTTTTGTTAATACTAGTTATTTTATTCAGTTCTTTACAAAACTCTCCATTTTTACCCCTCAAATTTATAATTTTCTGATTTTATAAAAGGTTTTTTATTTTTAACAATAATGATATATGATATCCCAACACCCTTTTAATGGTAAAGTTTTATTCTGTCAATAAATCACTATTAGTATAATTAGAGACTAAAACTTAAACTTCATGGACTAAAGTTGGAATTACTTGTGTTATCCTAGACTGATCTATACCACGTGTGTTTTTCTGAATGGTTTGTTTTGAAACAGAAATTTGGGGTATCCGAGACTTGTTGCATTGGCAGTGATTCAGGCAATTATGTCTTTGGGACTCTGCTACTACGTTTTGGGTTTGGTTGGACAAGTTTACGTGGTGGCCATATTCATGGGTTTTGGGTACGGTGCCCACTGGTCAATTGCACTAGCAGCAGCTTCAGAGCTATTTGGCTTAAAGAACTTTGGAACTTTGTACAATTTTCTCACTATGGCTAGTCCAGCAGGGTCTCTCTTTTTGTCTGGATTTGTAGCAAGCACAATATACGACTATTATGCTGAGGAGCAAGCAAAGCACCGAATGCCTCATGTGACTGGAACCAATGACTTGCTTCTTTGCGAGGGTAACATTTGCTTCTCCATAACGTGTGGAATTTTGGCACTAGTTTGCATTCTTGCGGCTTCTTTGAGCTTGGTCTCGGTTCACCGAACTAAGAGATTCTATGCCCAACTTTATGGGGAGTCTCGAACATGAGTTGAAGAAAGCAGAGAAAAAGTTCTTAAGTTCCAATCATTCAAGGGAATGGATGGAGAGTGGAGAGTAATTATGGTTTGAATGTTGTGTTGAGTAATTGTGTGTATATGCTCTTCCTCTCTCTTTTTGGCTCTTTAAGATCTGTAATCATATTTTATACCATGGTCCCCTTAGCGATCTTATGTGCTTGGGTATTATATAATAGAATTGTGGAACCACTTGCATCTAGAAGGAAAAAAGAGAGGGGGGAGGGGGCTTGTTATGAAAACGGTTCCCTCTGTATGTTCTTGTATAAAAAGGGCATTTGTTGATTTGAGTGGCTACATGTTCAGCTGCAAACGAGTTGTTAACACCATGTTATATTAGGATAATATTATTGTTAAATCTACATTTAAACTTTTAAGTTTACTCTTTACTTTGATTTCTTATAGGAAAATAATTTGGTTACATCCTTAATTTAGTTCTTGAAAGTATATGATGAATGCATAATAGTTCCTTAAAGATGGAAAATGGAAGTAAAAAACAAGTCTCTTTAAAAGTTGTGATGTCTTTTACATTAGTTCTTGAATAAATAAATGTTATCTAATTTTGTTAAATTGGATGATGAAATAATTAACATGTAAAGTATTACATTATCATTTATACTAACTACTCTTGTAAATATTATGTTAGTATAAATTAATTTGATGTGTTTCAAATATTGATATTTTAATATGATATGGATCAAAATGAAATGTATAGAAATAAAATTCACTTTTAATGGAACTAAATTAAAACATTTAAAAATTTTGTGGATTTAAAATGAGATGTGAAAAAAAAGATAATTAATTTAACTTTTTTTTCTCTCTTTACCTATGTCTCTTTGTTGGGAAAACTCGGACTTTCCCGCTTCGTGAAGTTAAAACACTTAATTGTCTTATTTTAATTTTTTTTCTTCACCTAATTTTCCTTATCCGTTTTATCTCTCATTAAAGACCCATCAATAATTGTTCAATAAAAACTATTGAATGAACCAACCATTATAAAATCGTAATCAATTGGAATAGTAAATAATAACAAAATTAATGTGACATGTTTATTACATATGCATTTAATTGAGATTTTTTTTGCAAGAACATAAAATGGAGAATTTTGTCCATAGCATATTGGAGTGGTAGTAATTGGGGGTGTTTAAAAAACGGTTTGGTTTAAATTTGGTGTAAAAAATGGTTTGGTTTAAATTTATTGTACTGGACGTAACTCCCAGCTATGCATAAGATTAATTTATCTTAGTGTCAATCACTTAATGGGCAATAATATGAAACATTCATTAATTCTAAAATAGATTTTTTTTTTCAATTTCATCAGGAATGAGTAATCTAAATCTTCTGCCATAAACCTTGCTTTTATAGTTAAATTGTTAAAATTAAAAATGACTTAATCTCATTTGTAATTATAACTATTTGTTTTTAATATCCATAATTTCTTAATTATTAAAATTAAATCACTTACAACAAATATGTGATGTGACATTAATTTTTATATATATTACTGTACTTTTTTTTTAAAAAACATGTATTTTTGTTGGAGATAATTTTATTCAAGATTTGAAATTTTTTTTAATATATATCTTATGTCCAATACCGTTAAACTTATATGTATATAATTAAATTGTAGATAATCCTTTTAATAAATTTATAATAATTTTGATATTATTTTAGAATTTGAGTTTCGTCTTAATTTAACTTTATTTAATTGACTTGTAAAGTCTCTTTACTTATATATATTTTCTTTTGTTAGTCTTATTTTTAATCAATCAATATAAAATTTGAGTTTTTTTCTCTCAATATTTTCCATCTAATTTGTTCCCGATATATGGCACGTGAAGTTTTCGTCACGAGAAATCTTCACTACTCTTTAATATTTATTTAGCTAGTGTACTATAAGTCAATAACTTGATGGGAACTTTCCTAGAGGACATTTCGTGTACAATTATATAGTGGCAGTAGTCATCAGTTATGGGTCTTATTATGTGACCTATTTTGAGTACATGCATGCACTCATGATTCACGAAATGTGTCTCCCTGTCGTGTATCCCATGTTGATGTTGGTCATTATATAACACGCCTTCCCGTATGCCAATTTTGTCACGTCTTTGTTGGGGCCTTGTGGAGTTCAAACTGAAATCAGGTTTGCCATATTGAATTTGTAACTACATCGACATAAGAATAAAAATAGTGTTGGGATGGATAATTCTCAACATGTCATTAATTCTTTATCTGATAAGCATAAATGTTATTTCTTTTTTTTATCATTTTTATTCATAAAAAGATAACTAAAATATTAACCAACTAAAATCACATCCACTTTGCCAACCTGATCTAACTTGACATGCATGTTCGATCTTCTGCAAAACCTTTTAAGTGAAAAGGAAAATGTTTCATATAGACACCCACTATAACTAAACTAAGACAAAATCATGTGTCTCTAACATTCTTTAAAAATTATTTTTTTTACTTTTTAATAAATTAGAAAATAAAATATTTGCTTGACTAAAAAATTTATTAGTCATGTGAATAGCCGAATAGGTGTTCTCTGAGGGTATAACTAAACAATTGGGTGTAAAAAAATAAAACCCAACTAAAATTAGTTTGAAATAATTGTTTTAGGTTACTTAACATTCGGTAAGAATTGATTTTCGTTCCTACATTTTAAAATGGTAGTTTTAATATCACATCTCAAAGTACAGAGGCCAAAACAATATATTTAAAAAACAATGAATTAGCGACCAAGTTTAAGTGACTGAAAATTGTTTTCTCCGACAAATTTTAAAAAACCATATATAAATTATTCCGTCGCTGATTTTAATATTTCCAACATACATAAAGACTAAAATTAATTTGGATGAAAATTCAACGAACGACTTAAAAAAACATTTTACTCATAGATTAAATTGGAAATGAAAAGGACTAAGCAGTTGCATTCCATACATACCCTCGACATCTTTCCGTTTTTGTAATATAGATTAATTAGTAGTAAAAATTCATTCGAAAATAAAGAAACGTTAGTTATGAAACATAAATTTTTCCCAATCTTGTCTTTTGATTTGTCTAACACAGGATGAATAAGTAAACTTAATTTTGACATATAAAAATGGATGCATATAATTTTATTCGATTCCCTACAATTTAGGAAACAACTTACCTTTTCTACACGGCGAATTTACCAAGCGTATCGTCTTTTATGTAGTTACATGTACAGTTTCTATGTAGTCACACAAATTCAATCTTGACTTGCATTCCGCCCTCATTTTTGTTGCCTTCTAAATATGCATACATCGCCATCACCTTTTTTCCAAAATATATGTATACAAAACACACATCACTTTTTTGCCATATATATAGCTTTTTAGCTGTAGTGCTAGCTGGTATGTAGCTATTATTCAATCAATGGAGACACATCAAGTGATGCTCCCTACTTCATCAACTGCTTTTTCATCTGATTTTAATGTTGCTTATCATTCTAATGTTCATGAGGTTTCAAGAACTGATCAGGAGATTAAGCAGCAAAGATATGCATTTCAAACAAGGAGTCCGGTTGATGTTCTGGACGATGGGTACCAGTGGAAGAAATATGGGAAAAAGATAGTGAAAAACAATAAATTCCCAAGGTTAGTGCCACACTGCCACTTTTATATTTTAAAATTTAACAGTTCCATTTGAAGGTTTGTAGTATATATATATATATATACTCTAGTCATACAATCACCTCTCTTGAAAGATTCACCTATATATATATCCTTTAAAATTAAAATTATGAACAAGAACTCATAAAAGAAAGAATTGGGAAAAACCCAAGTCCCACATCGACTAGAGATTAGGCAATTGAATAGTATATAAGTGGAAAGCAACCCTTACCTTACAAGCCGGTTTTGTAGGGTTGAGTTAGGCTTAATCCACTATTCTAAGATGGTATCAGAGCCATTTAGATCCACTTTAAAAATGGGCCACCCACCATTCATTGATACATGCACCATGGGCATGAGGAGGTGTATTTCAAGTCCCGTCAATTAGAAATACATGCACCATGGGCATGAGGAGGTGTATTTCAAGTCCCAATTAGAAAAGGGCCACCTACCATTCATTGCTACATGCACCATGGACATGAGGGGGTGTATTCAAGTCCCGCCAATCCTAGATCATTAAAAAGGGTCACCTACCATTTATCCACGTACCAAGCCCAATAGTGCTGGACGTGAGGGGGTGTATTGGGAAAAACCCAAGTCCCACATCGACTAGAGATTAGGCAATTAAATAGTATATAAGTGGAGAGCAACCCTCACCTTACAAGCCGGTTTTGTAGGGTTGAGTTAGGCTTAATCCACTATTCTAACATGGTATCAGAGCCATTTAGATCCACTTTAAAATCCAATCCTCGATGCTATTGAGCCTTCAATTGTTGGTCTAATTTGAACACTTAATTGTCTTATTTTAATTTTTTTTCTTCACCTAATTTTCCTTATCCGTTTTATCTCTCATTAAAGACCCATCAATAATTGTTCAATAAAAACTATTGAATGAACCAACCATTATAAAATCGTAATCAATTCAAATAGTAAATAATAACAAAATTAATGTGACATGTTTATTACATATGCATTTAATTGAGATTTTTTTTGCAAGAACATAAAATGGAGAATTTTGTCCATAGCATATTGGAGTGGTAGTAATTGGGGGTGTTTAAAAAACGGTTTGGTTTAAATTTGGTGTAAAAAATGGTTTGGTTTAAATTTATTGTACTGGACGTAACTCCCAGCTATGCATAAGATTAATTTATCTTAGTGTCAATCACTTAATGGGCAATAATATGAAACATTCATTAATTCTAAAATAGATTTTTTTTTTCAATTTCATCAGGAATGAGTAATCTAAATCTTCTGCCATAAACCTTGCTTTTATAGTTAAATTGTTAAAATTAAAAATGACTTAATCTCATTTGTAATTATAACTATTTGTTTTTAATATCCATAATTTCTTAATTATTAAAATTAAATCACTTACAACAAATATGTGATGTGACATTAATTTTTATATATATTACTGTACTTTTTTTTTAAAAAACATGTATTTTTGTTGGAGATAATTTTATTCAAGATTTGAAATTTTTTTTAATATATATCTTATGTCCAATACCGTTAAACTTATATGTATATAATTAAATTGTAGATAATCCTTTTAATAAATTTATAATAATTTTGATATTATTTTAGAATTTGAGTTTCGTCTTAATTTAACTTTATTTAATTGACTTGTAAAGTCTCTTTACTTATATATATTTTCTTTTGTTAGTCTTATTTTTAATCAATCAATATAAAATTTGAGTTTTTTTCTCTCAATATTTTCCATCTAATTTGTTCCCGATATATGGCA